TGATCTCTCGCTCAAGCGACCCACGATATGTCCTCATCGAATCGATGGAACGCACGCTTGAACTCAATGTAGTCGTGCTCGGTCCTCAGATTTGGGGACCTTTTCAGGACGCGTCCGCAACGTCTTGCAAGGATCAATCTGCAGCAGAGCTCATGAGATCCACCAACCATCTCGTCTGGGCAACCTACTGTGCAGGGACGAAATCCTGCCCCACTCTGAAAGCGTGGGAAAGCAGTCTTGGTTGGTGTTTACCAGGAAATCATCAAAGCCATGGTTTCTGAACGGTGGTGCGATTTCTGGATTTCGCAACCATCCACAGTATTTTTTCGCCAACTAAAAGAAAAAAAAACGTCGCCCGGATCTCGACTCTGAAGCGCCGGGCCATCCACCCGCGTTCAGCACATACTGACGCTCACGCTCTAGTGCGGTCACCTGGCAGCGAGACTTCACATTGCGACTTGTTGATCCATGACGGCTTTCCACTACCCAAACCACCACCAGGGTAAATCGGGGTACATGCCCCTTATATAGCCATATTGTGGGTGTACATTCCATTAAACCCCTGCATGTAGTGGTTTGGAGATAGTGGAGACCATCTTAGATTTGAGGCTGCGGATGGCCTTGAGAAGGGTATGAAGTCTGATACCTTGGTTGACTGGCAGTTAACTGCATTGGCAACGACAACATGCCTTTGCTTGAACTCTAGGCATCAGCAAAGTCTGTAAGCCAGGCGCACAGCTCAATGATTGCTCCACGACCCAAGAACTTGCTGCCACGACCATCTCCTTGGAAGTCTCAAACATTGCCAGGCTTCGCATGTCCCGGACCATCACGGTTGCAGGATTAAGCGCGTTGCCCTGGTCCAGCAAATCCTGAACCTCAGCGCAAGTCGGCAGGCGATCGCACGTCCTTGAGCCGTGAAAACCCACCTCCATCCGTTCAGACTGCGCCTCGAGACTTGCTTCATGTGCTTGCCATGAAAGCAACAACAGCATATCATAGCAACAAGTACAACAACCACAACAACCACAACCATCACAGCATCAACATCAACATCAACATCAACATGAACATGATCATCATCATGATCAACAACAACCACCAGCACCAGCACCAGCACTGGCACTAGCACAACCACAACCGCCACCGCCGCCGCCGCCACCACCACCACCACCACCACCACCACCACCACCACCACCACCACCACCACCACAGCAGCAGCAGCAGCAGCAGCAGCAGCAGCAGCAGCAACGGCAACAACAACGACACCGACGACGACAACACCCCCACCAACCAACCAACCAACCAACCAACCAACCAACCAACCAACCAACCAACCAACCAACCAACCAACCAACCAACCAACCAACCAACCAACCAACCAACTAACCAAGAAACAAAGAAAGACACAAAGAAAGAAACAAAGAAAGAAACAAACAACAAAGAAACAACGAAACAACGAAACAAAGAAACAAACAAAGAAACAAAGAAACGAACGAACAAACGAACGAACGAACGAACCAACAAACAAACAAACAAACAACCAAACAAACAAACAAACAAACAAACAAACAAGCAAGCAAGCAAGCAAACAAACAAACAAACAACTGCAACAAAAACGCGAAGAACGACAGCGCGTGAATAATGAACATATTTAATATTGCAAACAGTACACCCCCACCTTGGACAGGAAGCCACAAGCTCTGAAGAAGGTGCTAACCTTGAAGCACACAGCCCAGCCGCCTTTGAGCATTCTGACAATCTGAGGAGCTGGCCTCTTTAGCCGGAACGCAGCAGTTCTGGTCAGTGTCGTCGACAATCTTGGCCCAAATGCAAGGCTTGTCAGGCAGCTAGCTGCCTTTGGAATTGTGCCTCAATCCCCGAGAGTCTCCAATTAAACATAAACAGATCAACCCCCAACGCGCACCTTGCCCAACTTGTCCTTCTCAAGCTCCTTGAGATGACTCCTCAGCTTTTGGTCTGCTTCTGCCATGCATCGCGACTGCTTGTTCTGCTGTCTGCATTCACAGCTTGAGCCACAAGCACCATTTTCAAGAAGTCATGAAAGCTGAGTGTTCCATCTCCGCCTCAGGCCAGCAACTCCCCTCAATCAGACTGCTCTATCGTACAAATGGATGAGCGCTAGGACGACTGCGCAGCATGCTCTGCAGCATGGCCTTCATCTGAAATATTTTTGGTTGACCTTGCGGGCGCTCGATTCATTGCGATCAGGAATGCACGGCTGCAAGGGTCCGGCTCTTGGGCAGGAGGCCACTGTCACGAAGAAGCAAAAGCACCTCCAAGCTGGCATGTTCATTGCCCAATGTCAACCATGGCTTCGGAAAGGAGCCAGGCGGATGCGGCTGCAAAGGCACAAATGAAGTAATCTGCGACTGAGTCCAGGGATTCGGAACAAAGAAGTGCGCTTGAAAACCTCAAATGAGCGGGTCTGTCTTTTTTTCTTGAGGTTGTGTCTTTTTTTGAGGTTTGAGGGTACCTCCTTTATCTTACCATTTTGCTAGGGGCGCTCTACATTGTAAAATGTCCTTTGCACGTGCTCGTAATGCCGCTAACCTTTTGGCCAGGAGTGCTTTGCCGTTGACGGATGTTCAAGATGATCTGGTTCAAAGTGCATCACTGTAGCATACTTACTTTTTGGCGCTTTTTGGCGGGTGTTCTTATTTGGCTAGGAAAGCTTCAGTGCACAGTGCAGCCCTGTGGGCAGTTGCTGAATTGATGCTGCTGCATCCATCATGAACATTGTCTGAATCATATCTGCGCTCAATTGCATTTGTGCACATGGGCAGTTGCTGACTCATACAGGTACTTGCTGAAAGCGGGCACTTGGGCAACTCACGTCTTAATATGGGTGTGGCTCAAAATTAAAGACCTAGGGTTACGCAGGTTTTGGTATTTGGCTCCATTTGCCAAGGTGCCATGTTGGTACATTTGTCTGAGCCACAGCCATATGTTGTTCCTTGTCCCATGTGCTACCTTCGCAAAGTAGTCCACCAAGGAACAACGAGCCAACCCGCGGACCCCAAGGCTTCAACGGCTCGGATTCAGCTCTCGGCCACCTTCCGAGACCCGCCTGCTGCTCATGGACAAAGCCGGAGACGTGGCCCCAGTACCCCCGGCTCGGATTGTACCTCTCGAGAGATGTGCGACCAATGCGACCAATTGCAACTGGAAGCGACATGCGGGGAAACCACTTGCAAACGATGGCTTCACTCAGAAATGGGAGAACTGATCCCGAAAAAGTGTCTATCTTTGAGCGAACATGTTGATTGTCAATCTTGATTACTGTGAACGGCCGGCAGAATGTTGGCACCCAAATATCTTGAGACTTACGCGACAACACAAAACTAGACGGCATGCAACCAGTAAAGTCGTTTCCATCCTTGTGGCGCATGCCTTGTTGGGACTAGGTGGCCTACCTGGCAATTGTTCGATTTTCCCGAGGATGGTTGCGTTGTCATGCGCTTGGATTGCGTGTGCACGCAGCCAACACTCAAGCAGTGGTTTTAACCCCACGCTTCTGAACAAGGCAAAGGCGCTTCCCGCTAAACGGGCCTTTCTCAAAATGGGGGTCCCTTTTTGAATGGTTTCAAAGGGAAAGCCAAAAAGTCGCCTACCACCTCAAGGGTCCCTAATTTTGAGAAACGCCCAAATTTACTGAGTTCCGCCTTTCTCCCTTGTCAAGCTGTTGCCGACCCCACTCACAGGTCAGCAAAGCACAGGTCACTCATGGAACCGCATGTGCCAGCTCACCAAGTCGTGCTTCCACACCTCCTGCGCGATCACTGACCGCCCAAGGCGTACGAAAAAACCGCGCTGCTTGTGAACAGAGGAACCCTCGATGATAGTTGCCACTACCCCCAAACCACTACCCTTAGAAAAAATGGGGTTAATATGCCCGGCTATATATGTATATATAGTGGGTAGTGGCTATATATAGTAGCTATATAGTGGTTGTATCTCCCATTCATCTCCCTGCAGGTAATGGTTTGGGGGTAGTGGAACCCATTTTAGACCCCCGGGGTATGCAAGGGCCCCCTGAAAAGCTTGCACTGCATAAACTGGGTCTTGGGAAACTCTCAAAGGCACTGATGCGCAGCACAGACACAAGCTGACACGCTGACACGAACACACACAAACATACGGAGCCACAGGTACACAGACACACGGACACACAACCAAACACAACCACGGAGACTGAGACCACGCAGGCACTTTCGCGCGTGACAGAGAAGAAAAAGAGACCCACACGTATCTGCGTATCTGCGTGTCTGCGGTCGTTGAATGGTTCGGCCTGCTCTCTCCTGCTCCTCTTCTGACAGCGAGAGCCGGGTCACCAGGTCCTGGAACTTTGAGATTCTCTCCTGCTCCACCAGCTCCTGGCCGAGGGGACACACCTTGCGCTCCGGGAAAAACATGCGTCGCGAATATTTGAAGACCACAATGGCATTTCGGGGATGATGACTCGTCGGCGGCTTCTCACGGGGCAAACAAATGCAAACCGCGTCGGGGAGAGTAGTGACGGGATCCAAAAGCCTTACCCACGGGCTCCACAAGCAAATCGCCGCAATACGCCAGGGTGCTTTGGCTGGTGGGCAATTCAAGACAACAACACGTGTCTCGAACAGCTGGAAAGTGCGGTGCTGCAAGCTTGCCACATGTGTGGTTTGCAAGGCAAAGGGTCACATTCTCCTGTTGCAGGCAGACAAAGTCTACAAAGTCCTCCTCGTCCATCCTCAATACCGATCACATCTGCCACCAACCACGGAGGAGCTAGCGAAGACGCTCCCTATAGATTTCCTCCCCCGAAGCGACCAACAAAGGGCTCGCGTTTAACAGGGCTCCCTGCATTTCCCCTTTAAACATCACCCCACCAAAAAACACCCAGCTTGGGCCAAAACGAAGGAAATATAATGACCCCTGTTTAACGGCGCACGTTTCCACAACTTCTCGCCGCAAATGCTGGGACCCCCGTCAATCCAAGGCCAACGGACAAGAGCTTCTCGCTTCGGCCAGTCCTAAGCCAGCATTCGGGGTGAATTTATCGTAGAGGCTATCCTTTTCTTGCTGGTGCTCAGTAGGGAATGCGGGAATGAACCCAGGGATTCCCTTCAAAGAAACCATAGGGGATGGTTTAAAAGGGTCATTCCCTTGCTGAGCAGCAGCAAGTTTTGGGGTGGTTCCAAAAGGAAACCAAAACGAAACCCAACAGCATGGGGGATCCCCCTTTTTTTTAAGACACACCAATCTAGGAAACAATCTTATGATACAAAACATCTCAGCTGAGGAAGCAACTTCTGAGCAAAGCCTTTGAGCGCCGCCTTTAAGGCTTCCTTCCAGGGAGCGCGCAAGGTCAAGCCGCACGGGAAACGAGCCCTAGCCCATTGGTATCCACTCCTCAAAGATCTCCAGTCCGTTCAGGAGAAGCGCTCTGAGAATCTCCGAGACAGAGAGCTTGCCGCGCTCATAGGTATCCAACTCGCGGGTGCTCTCAACAGACCCCCGCAACCTCCAAATACCCGGCATTTTGTCAGGGTATCATGTCGACCCTCTACTGAAAAAGGAGGTATTTACCATGGAAAACCAGGTTTTCCCAAAAATACCCTGAAAAAAACGGGTATTTTGAGTAGGGGGGACATGGCCAACGAGCGCTCTGAATGGCCTTCTTAAAAAGCTTCAGGAGGTTTGGCCGCCGCAATCTGAGCCGGTAGGAATGGAGTGAGCCACGCCACATGTGACACTTGAGTCTCCGACTCAATCAGCTTCTGCCGGATGGTTGGAACAACCTAGGGCCGGACTCTGCTGGCATGCATTCGGAAGCACTCGGAACCGGCCTCATTGCAATACTGCTCTAAGGTGAACTGCAACTTGTCCAGATTGAGAAGTATGGCAGCCACCTCCAAAACCGTGCCCCTACCCGCAAAACGGCCGACCAGTCGAGTCCGTTTTTGGGGTCTCGTCGCGTCGTCGCGTCGGGTCATCGACTCCTCGCGCCTCCTCGCGCTCGATGTCATTCCTGGGACTTAGGCCCAGTCCCAGCAAGGAGTCCATCAGCTCTGCCTCAAGCTCAATGAGCTTGATTCAAACCCGGGAAAATGGACGGTTTGGCCACTCTTCTCCTCAATGAGCTTGATGGACCCGGGAAAATGGACGGTTTGTCCACTCTCAGAGATGAATGGAAGAGATCTGTTCTCTTAAGAATGCGGTTCTTGAATGTGCATATGTAATTCGTAGATGGGTCGTACAGGCGGGAACGAAGGCCTTATCATCCTTTCTTTCATCTCCTGGTTTCCATCTCATCCCATGGAAGTCCGCTGATCCTTGCAACCAGTCATATGTTATTCTCTCGGAAACTAGAAAGAAGATGAGATGCAAGCTGGATGGGCAAGAGGCCCACCTATTGACATGGTACCTGATTGAGGGTTTGTCTACGTAGTCGACATATCGTGGCAATGAAGATGAGTCGTGTCCATCATTAACAGGTTATATAAATCCCTTTGTTTTTAATGGTGGGTGAATGACATTCCAAGTAACGATGAAACATACCATGAAAGAAAGGGAACGCAGAAGACAACAAGCAAACACACACGCTGTCAATATCATTCCCTCAACATCAGCTGATAGGCATATGATGGTCTATAACGTAGCCCTTGCCTTTGCTCTTATCTTCAAGCTTATTTGGAACACGTGCGCCACCGTTCTCCCACTGTCACCAACCGTTGAATCCAGAGATCAATTGGGCGATGAACGATCCAGCCTTGGCTGTGGATGATAGGGTGGGAAGGGACATGATGGAGGATTGGCACGTACTGTTAAGTCTACTTCCTTGAGTCCGCTTCCGGGAAACGTAAGAGCTAAGATAATCAGACATTGATAGTTTCATTTGCCTTTCTTGCTAGGTTCATTCAGCTTTATCATACTTTATCATGCACAGGATCTGATTGCTTTATTAAGCGCCGGCTTTGGACTGGGGGAGCATGTACAAATGGTGCTTGGGCGAATATATGGGTTTCTGGGCATCTTCTGGGGCACCATTGTTATGAAATTTGAGCGATGCTTAGCCCGGAGCGGGGTGGCACTGAGCGGCAGCCCGTAAGGAAATAAAAGGATTTGTTTTAGCTAGACATATCCTATCGCAGGTGCTACATCATTGACTGTCGCCATACTGTCGCCATAAGGATAACATACACGGATATTATCGGTGCCAGTAAAGTCCGACAGAGAGGGGGGCGGAAGTCTCTTACATAAACATACTGTGGGCGGACGAACTCCTGCACCGACTGGGAAACCATGGGAAACCATTGTTCATTGGCATTTACAGGAGAATCATCCCTCCAGGGTGGGTTGGCCCATCCTCAGTATTTCGTTTGGAACCTGCTCCCCGTGAACTGCCGCCAGTGAGGGGGCAAGCACACCTTGTTCTGCTCCAGTCTCTACACGCGCACGCGCGTGTGGGTGTGGGTGCCCCTGTTCTTAAGGGTCCCCGTTTTCGGTGTCTTTCTTCCTTTTTGGAGTCGGACGCCACCTTGACGAATGCCCCGGAGTGTAGTAATCCTGTTGGCAGATGGCGCTCCTGATCAGGATTGCCCGCAGGATGAACAATTGCCGCCGGGCTTACGTCGAGCCGAAACTCCTTTTCGCTTGAGGAATGGGATGCGCCTCACGGTTTCATTGTCTCCCATCAAGTGTGTGTGTGTGTGTGTTCGTGTGTGTTCGTGTGTGTTCGTGTGTGTTCGTGTGTGTTCGTGTGTGTTCGTGTGTGTTCGTGTGTGTTCGTGTGTGTTCGTGTGTGTTCTGGTGTGTTCTTGTGTTCTTGTGTGTTCTTGTGTGTTCTTGTGTGTTCTTGTGTGTTCTTTTGTGTTCTTGTGTGTTCTTGTGTTCTTGTGTGTTCTTGGGTGTTCTTGTGTGTTCTTGTGTGTTCTTGTGTGTTCTTGTGTGTTCTTGTGTGTTCTTGTGTGTTCGTGTGTGTTCTTGTGTGTGTGTTCTTGTGTGTGTTCTTGTGTGTGTGTGTTCTTGTGTGTGTGTTTGTTCTTGTGTGTGTGTGTGTTCTTGTGTGTGTGTGTGTTCTTGTGTGTGTGTGTTCTTGTGTGTGTGTGTTCTTGTGCGTTCTTGTGCGTTCTTGTGCGTTCTTGTGTGTTCTTGTGTGTTCTTGTGTGTTCTTGGGTGTTCTTCGGTGTTCTTGTGTGTTCTTTTGTGTTCTTGTGTGTTCTTGCGTGTTCTTGCGTGTTCTTGCGTGTTCTTGCGTGTTCTTGCGTGTTCGTGCGTGTTCGTGTGTGTTCGTGTGTGTTCGTGTGTGTTCGTGTGTGTGTTCCTGTGTGTTCGTGCGTGTTCGTGTGTGTGTTCGTGTGTGTGTGTGTTCGTGTGTGTGTGTGTGTGTGTTCGTGTGTGTTTTTGTGTGTTCTTGTATGTTCTTGTGTGTTCTTGTGTGTTCTTGTGTGTTCTTGTGTGTTCGTGTGTGTTCGTGTGTGTTCGTGTGTGTTCTTGTGTGTTCTTGTGTGTTCTTGTGTGTGTGTGTGTGTGTTCTTGTGTGTGTGTGTGTGTTTTTTGTGTGTTCGTGTGTGTGTGTGTGTGTTCTTGTGTGTGTGTGTGTGTTCTTGTGCGTGTGTTCTTGTGTGTGTGTGTGAATGTGTGTGAAGCTAAACTAGGGTATGCTTGTTTGCACGTTGCGGATAATTAGGAGAGCCACTCAGCAAGCAGTCAGCTAGTTAGCTCGTTTAGTTGCTATTTTGTGAGCTAGTTGGATAGTCTAGCTAGACAGCTCGCTCAGCTCAGTTAGCTTGATGGCTACTTCGCCGGCCAGTTCAAGTGAGCCGTGCCGAATTCTCTTGCGTACAAAGCGGTAAAATGAACTTGCTTTCGCGGACCCTTTCGCGATGTTTTCGCAACCCCATGTTTTGCTTTCGCGGGCTTTGTTTTTTTAGGATTGCTTTCGCGGCGCTCTCGCGCTGTCACACCCTTTGGGCTGCATCAGCTCAGAAACTGCAGCTTCCCTTTGGCGGGCCTTTCTGCAAAGTGAGCTACACAAATGGCAGTGCACCCCAAATTTAAGACTATGTAACACAACTCCCGCTCATCATCGGCACACAGGCCTTCGCGGGTCTTTCGCGGACCTTCTTTAGTTACTTTCGCCAGTAGCTATCGCAAGCTTGCGCGGCCTGCGTTTGGCTTTCGCGGGGATTCTATAGGGCGCTGCTCAAGTGCAAGCGCTAACTAGTTAGTTCGGTTGCATGGCTGCGCAATTGGTTTATGCTCACGTTTTTGCTGCTTAGTTGTCTAGCTTGTTAGCCAATTAGCTCTTGAGTGAGTTCCCTAATTGGATCTGCCAGCGTTCAAAGGCTTGCGCGAGCGAGGCTGGGAGATGATTCCGAGTTGAGAGACTGAAGTCGAAGGAGTTGAAAGAAACCTATACTTTCTTCTATTTGGACATTTAGACTGGGCGTGACCATTTTCTTTTTCCCTGTGGTTGAGAGGCCAATGATGATGAACATGTTTGCCTTCATCTTGGAACTTTGCCAGCTTCCCAGCCACTTTGGGCTGGAAGAACGTGGAGAAAATGATTGGAAGAGACGGGATTCCCCATCCACATCCTCAATGGCGACACGGTCCTTTCCTCCACATGGGTATGAGTCAAAATTAAACCACCAGGGGAACGCAGATTTTAGTCCATGTTTCCTCTTACCAGGGTTCCATTTGAGGCACCTATTTTTGACCCACGGCCGCATGCAAAAGGAACCCTTCGTTCTGCCCGTCGGACCCAACGCGAGAGGCGGGCCCCCGCCTGGTCCAGCAAGCCAGTGGCGCTGACGTTGTACTTGGTAAAGGCCGCCATCAGCACGTGCTGACGGAAGACGGCAAGAAACGAATTGGCTGTGGCTCAAAAACTCTCAAAAACATGTACCAAAATGGTACCTTGGCAAATGAAACCGAAGACTAAAACCCTAGTTCATCAATTTGAGCCACACCCATCTTTGTGACCGGGCTCCGCAAGACCTGGGTTCGTCTCAAAACCACTTTAAAAATGGTCAACACGAGTCTCAGGGCAACCCATTTTGGGGTACCCATTTTTGATTCCACAGCCACATGGGGTACCCTCCATAAAGGACACACCCACTTGAAACAGTCGCCTGCTGCTTGAGGCCCGCCACAAAGCCAACGTGGCCCGCATAGAGGCAGGCGCCTGGCCCATGAGTTCGGCTTCACAAGCTGCTTCTGGGACTTTGAATTACCAATCGAATTTGGCAAAGAGTGGAGAACGGGTGTCACCCATTTGGGTGTGGCTCAAAATTAAAGAGCTAGGGTTACGCAGGTTTTAGTCTTTGGTCCCATTTACCAAGGTGCCATTTGGTACATCTATTTGAGCCACGGGCATTTCACTATGCACCAGTTGCTTTCCGGAAAAGGGACCATGGCACCGCTTGAAGCTTGCCCAACGAGATCTAAGGATCACCTTGCATGGCGGCACAGCCTATTCCCGAAGACTTCATATCCGTGATCTTGCGGAACATGGCATCAAGCCTCCTGCCATGCGTCTGCAGCAGTGAATGCCGAAATGGGCTATGGATGATCGACTCCAGATTGTGCATGTGTGCCATCAGTAGGAATCCCTGAAACTGTGACCGAAAATCCTGCGTTTTCACAGACTGGTTGATTCTCCGAAGGCCAACCGCGCATGTCCCAACAGTGGCCGAGCTGAGTCTCCAGCATGCCGCTCTGAGCAGAGAGCCTTGAACGTTTCATTGAACAACGGAGCAGTGTCGCGGCTTCACTCTTGAGTAAAGCAAGAAAGAAGCAAGTAATTACAAACTGCTTGACTTGGCCCTCTGCATCCGTGTTGCTGTTGGCGCCGACTCCTGCAGTCCAAACTGGATCACACTCTGCTGTTCTTGCGGCCCATGCAGCTCAAAGTGCCTGTGGCTGGTCCAACAACGGGGGCGTTGTGGCCGGAGGGGGCGTTGTGGCCGGAGCGGGCAACGGTGAGGAAGATTTCTGCCTCCTGACCCAGTCTCATGGCATTGCGCTCAGCTTTATCAAAAATCCCCGGTGAGCCTCTGTGCGCAAACCAACTCTAGTGGATAAGGGCATGGACGGATCATCGGATCCGCTTGCGAGCCAAGTCCAAGTCAAGCGAATCTTTGCTGGGATCATCAAGCAACAAGTCCAGCAAGCCAACGCATGCGGTCCTATTATGATGCCGGCACTTGCCTCCAAGCTTTTTCAGCTTCTCCTTGTCCCGAGGAACTCGAACGGGGCAAGCCAATTTCAGTCGAGCTTGTTGGGGTGTATCCGGCCAAAATACTGGACACCATGCCTACGCGATTCCTTGCCTACGCAAGCCTACTCTCCTGGAGCGCCTGAGGCGGACTAAAACATGATATGAAGTGGTCACAAATAAAGACGCAGAGGAGGCAAACACCTCCAGCAGGTTGACGGCATTTGTTGGTAGCAGCTGTGCGTAGCCTTTCTTCAATCATTCTCGCAAGCTGCAAAAGTCTTTTTTGGCCACTAAACGCAGCATAAGGAGAGTTCCCCCGAATGCTTGACGGATACACGGCAAAACACAACTCTGCTCATTTCAGCGTCAAAAGGGCCACCACCACCATCACCACCACCAATATCGCTACCACCACCGACACAACCTGCACCTCCACAACCTCCACCTCCACAACCTCCACCTCCACAACCTCCACCTCCACCACCACCTCCACCACCACCTCCACCACCATGACATTCACCGGCATCATCGTCGTCACCATTCTCACCATCATTGCGATCACCTTCATCACCATGCCGTCTGCAATCAAATGGAAGACTTGCCATCTGACGGCACTGCAGGTAGTGATGTGCATGCAACATTGTGGAGCTTGATGAAACAAACAAGCAAGAAGAAAGACAAAATCTTGGAAGAAAAAAACACAAGCAAGCAGAAAGACAGCAGCAAGCAAGCAAGCAAGCAAGCAAGCAAGCAAGCAAGCAAGCAAGCAAGCAAGCAAGCAACCAAGCAGGCAAGCAAGCAAGCAAGCAAGCAAGCAAGCAAGGAACCAAGCATCCGGTCCAGGCTGCGTCAGCTCCAAAGAAGCCTGTTGATCTAGTCATGAAACAAAAGAAACAATTACCTGCAGGTTACGTCGATTTGGTGGCATCGTACTCCTGTCAACGTGCCTATGTGGACAATCTATCTTGCCACATCCTGTCACTTAGGCAGCTGGTGCTGCAAAACGCAGGATGCCGAAGAGCAAGCATAGGCTTGGCACACTGAGTGCATCACCTGGATCTTCCGTGACGTTTTCTTGGCGGTCATCAACTCGCCTAAGCTAAAATGATGCACTCTGCACGCTGCACACTGAGGATGCTGCCCACTCGGAGCACCGCCTGCCTACAGTCAACACGGCGCTCTCAAATACCCAAAGCACAGCCAGCCTGTCAATCCCCCTCAGGAAACGCAATCGTTCCATAACAAAGCAAAGCCCATGCATCTCACAACCCCAACCCCAAACCAACCCCAACCCCAAGCAAAGCCACTCAGCGCTGGAAAAGCTTCGTCCTTTAGCTTCTGAGCAGCTCGCAGTCTAGTCTGCCGGAGCCTCTCCTCAGCGACGTGACATCAAAACATCTGAGGCCAACCTTTGGCGTCAGTCAGGAAGGAAACCGGATGGTCAAACCGCCGGACTCAGTTGCCTTTCTGAACTCCGAAACACATATGGCCATGGGTCAAAATCAGTGAACATCCCAAGCCCCACTAAAATAGACCAAAATGGGTGGTGCACCTACCACAAAATGGTACCACTGGTTTTGACTCACAGCCATATCTTTCCTGCTGCACATCTCTCTCAGCCGGCCTTGTCCTCCAATGCCTCTGCATCATCTTTGTTGACCTGGGCAATCAGCAGTCACCGCCGAACTGCAACCGCTAGGGCCAAGAGGCATCCTCGCGAACATCCTCCTGGCTATGTACGAAATGTCAGGATAGGTTTAGGGATTGTTTTGGGTGGGCTTGGGGTTGGTTTGGGTTGGCTTGCTTGAATTCATCTACTCATTGCTATATAGTGTCGCCAATGTGATTCTACAAAACAGCAGTTTAGTACTTGTTTGGTTTTTTTTCGGCCCAGAAAAAAAAGAAAGGAAAAAAAGGGAAATAAAACAGCACTATTGGGTGCCCTTGCATCATTTTTCAGAGGACTTGCTTTGGCAACATGAGCGCAGTGCTCCAAGATTGGAACATAAGCGAGACATGCCGTACATTCAAGACTTGTCATGGTTTGTGACCATAAGCTTTTGGACAAATCGAACTAACTTAAAAAGGGACACCTACTATGGATGGTCGAAAATCATTTCGCACCTGTTCAGAAACCCTGGTTTCGGATGATTCCCCCTGTAAATACCACCCAACAATGGCTTCAACCATGGTTTCCAAGTCGGTGCGAGAAGCGGATTTCGTCCACTGTATGACTGTAACGCGAAAATTTGCCTCCCCACAGCCTGCCTGGACTTCTGGCGTCAGCTTTGTGCCCGGAGCACTGAAGGTGCGTCGTGCGGACTCCGGAAGGACCGAATGGGCAAAGGACCAGTCCTGCAAGGGACGGCTCACGGAAACAAATGGCCGTGCGTCAAAAGCCAAATCGTACCCCCAGTGAACATCCCAATCCCCGCTAAAATAGGTTCTAAAATGGGTGGTGAATTCACCTACCCCAAAATGGTACCATTGGTTTTGACCCAGGGCCAAATGGGTGTGGGTGTGCACCAAGGCTCATGGAAACAAAAGACTCAATTGAGTCCTCCAAATATGGCCGTCCAAAAAGAAAGCTGGTCACCCCAAAATGGCTTGCCCGACGGAAACATGGACGAAGCTCTGCGGCCCAATGTCCTGGGGGTTTAATTTTGACCCATACCCCTGTGCACATGGTACGAAAACTTCAACCCTTCCAGGGTTCCACGAGCCAACCTTTGGGCTCAACACCAGGCTCTCATGATGTTGAAGTCGTCAAATGATCAAGGGAAATTCATCACGCATGGAGAATTCTGCGGCTGGAACAGTTGCAATACACAGCGTAAACGGCTGCAAATGGAGCTGTTGGAAACGAACAGCGCAATCTTGGTTTTCCGTGCGCAACGCTCCTGCAGGTGGTAATGCAACTCAAAGAGCTTTTGATCTCGCTGCCGTGCCTCTCGCCACCTGAGAAATCAGCTGAAAGCCAATGTGTCTTCGACTCTTTGGGAGTCGCTTCATGAGCACTCAAACTGCTTGGCTTAAAACCGCCATTCGCTCAACTCGGCCTCCCTTCCCCTCTGTCTCTCGGCGCGTGGCCGCGCGGCCACATGTCTGCTCCGCGCGGCCACCTCGCTGCAGTACTCCTGGCGCTCCCGGGCCTCGGGCAGGCAGGCAGGCAGGCAGGCAGGCAGGCAGGCAGGCAGGCAGGCAGGCAGGCAGGCAGGCAGGCAGGCAGGCAGGCAGGCAGGCAGGCAGGTGGACGAGTACCCAGTCCATGTCGCAAAGCCAAGGGAATATGTGTCTCATATGTTGCACGGATGTGTTTATAGGGCTAAGCCATGGAATAAGCCATATTTCTCAGATTCTCCAGTTTCATAAGGCCCAAAATATGCCCATGTCGCAAAGAATCTAAATTCATCCCTTGCCACCCACGACAAAAAAGACCCTAAGCGCAGAACTGGACAGGTCTAGGTCTTGCCCTGGATCCCTGTGAAACATGCGGACCCCGGCAGCCGCCGCCACATACCAACCCCTCCGAGCAAGCGTAGCACTTGGTGCGCAATGTTTCCGCAGAATATGGCGCGACGAATACATATTGCAGCGTGCAGCGTGAATGTCGATGGTTGCTACTCCCTCCGGTAGACATGATCATAACTGATCCAATGAGTTGAGGAACATGTTTGAATAATCTTGATGAGCGACAAGCATTGCACACAAAAATGCTCAGGCCCAAACCAAATCTGCTACGTCCTGATAGTGTCCATCAACTGCGTTCAAGTGATCCTGTCGAAGGCGAAAGAAAAACCGATGGACATGCCTAGACGTCAAGCCCAGTGCAAGCCGGCCTCGCATCTAAAGACAACCGGGCTGCCCAGCTTGCGAGCATCTAGCAGCCTTGCGCTGTTGAGAGAACCACTCTGACTTGCTGTAGCCCGATGCAACATGTAACTGCTTGTCGCATTCAACTGGCCGCACATGTCCAACTCCACCTGTACTACCCTTGCAAACTCTTTTGTTAGCCTCCCACAAACAAGGCGCACAGCCATGTTTTGCACAACTAAGGCCAAAGCTCATTCATCGTCAGCGGTGAAATGTCTGGTGTCCTGAAAGTACGTGCCGCGTCCGAACAATCCAAGCGAGCAGTGCGATGGACTCTGAAAGCGTCCTGGACAAGTTTGAAGCGCCTGCGGCGAGCACCATCAACTTCACCAGCCACAGTTGCAACTGTGCATGGCTGAACAGCTTGGGCCTGTGGTCACACTGGCAGAATGCGTGCCTGGAGCATTCGTCACATCTGCGACGAGAAGAATTCTACGATGCCGGACGTGGGGAGTATATAGTGTTGCCGGTCCTGTTTGCCAGGCCCCCCCCCCAATGGTATCCCCGCCCCCCAAGCCCAGCATCTCTCCAAACCGAGAACCAACCCTGAACCAGCCCTCAACCAACCCTGAACCAACCCTTAACCACCCCACCCACAACCACCCACAACCCCACCCACAACACCCACAACCACCCACAACCACCCCAAGGTGGGGGTCCATGACCATGCCGGGGGGGGAGATATTTTGTCCACCACCTTGAAAAACTTCTCAATAAATCCCAGGCAGTGCCTGGAACTTGCAATACCTCATCTGCTTGCATCCCATGCCGAGACTGTTCCAAGCCTGTCACGGACCGCATGCTGAACTCCTGCAGTGCGTGCTGTGCGATGCAGCAATGCAGCAATGCAGCAATGCAGCAATGCAGCAATGCAGCAATGCAGCAATGCAGCAATGCAGCGGCCGCGCGCAAGCGCATGCGCGCAGGTCCCGCCTGCTCTGCTGAGCCCGATGATGAGTTCATGCCTAAGACCAAGCAGCGGCTCTTGCTGACAGGCTGTCAGCTGAGCAGCTCACTCCAAGCCACTAGCTTTCCCAAGATTGGCGAATCTTGGGGAGCTGAATTGGTGGCTCTGAATTTCAAGGAAGGGACCCTTTGGTGGACATCAAATTTGGGGATTCATGTCCACCAGTCACTTTGTAGGTTCCCGAATGAAACTCATAGCCAGGTCATGGCTCCACCATTCGCCACGCAGTGACTCTGCCTCACCAGCCTCTAGGCGTGGCACTTCGCCAGTGACGTCGGCGCCTAGCAACGGTCTGAAAGCATAACCTGCTTGACTGTCACGGGACAAACCCGCGTCAAAGCGCATGCCTCATGACACAAGATAACTCTTCAATTAAACCAACACAGCGCGATATGAATAGCTTGTGAAAGCCAAGTCAAGACTCACTGGGCCCTCGCGCTCCGCCAGTCGTGGCGTGGGCAAACGAGGCTCCCAAGGAGCCTGTCGAGTCGCCGCAAGCAAAGGCCAGCTGGAACCCCAAAGTTCAACGTGAGTCGACTGAATTTGGGCGCTAAAAAGATGATAGCGGATTGCCAGATTGGTGTGGGTCAAAAGTAAACCACCAGGGGACCACAGGTTTTGGTCCATGTTGCCACTTACCAGGGTTCCATTTTGGGTACCTATTTTTGACCCATTGCCAGATCTTTCGCCATCGCGGCCCAACTGCAAAGTATTGCAGGGCTGTACATCAGATTTCCTTCTGGGCCAGCCCAGAAGCGGGCAGAGTTTTCTTGCCATTGCTGAACAAACACATCCATGATATGTTCAGCTTCCCTCTAGTTGGGTTGCATTGGTGGTTTGGTGGTTTTGGACTGGATTTCAATTTGTCCAGGGGCTCAAACCCACAAACCACCAATCCAAACCACCCAGTAGGGGGTTCCTGATATGTGGTTCGAATCTCAAAACCTCTGAGGTCGGAACCCTTGGAGTTTCCTCCGTTACAGGTTTTTCGCCGAGTTCCTCCGAGCCTCTCTGCGGCCTGAGCTGACGGCTGATATGCAGTCTGCAAAATGGCGCCATGAGGAAAGCAAAAATATAAATCCAGGAAGGAGAGAGAGCAAACAGAACAACACAACATGCCGGACAACTATCGGTAGTCCACTGTAGCCTATGTGCCTCGTTTATACACCGCCAGCTTTTGCGATGCTTGACGGCGTCTTCTGCACTCTTGGCTCAGTGCGGAGTTCCAGATCCTGAGCTCCGCGCTCTGCTTTTCTGGCCCGATCTTTGACAGCTGGTGGCTTTGGCGGAGTTTTCCGCGACGACAGCACAGGCTTCAGCCCTCGCGCCAGCAACGGCCGCAACGCAGTGCGAGGCGGCGGCTGCGGCGGAGGAAACGCCTTCGTTTCGCCGTCATCTCCACGCTGTGGCACCAAGACCCCTGAGGCCATGGCGCCAAAAAGGCCGAAAAGCGGAAAGCGCTCCCAGTGTGAATGATCCGGCTGGGAAGCTTCGTCTAAGCTAAATTGTGTCTGATGAATATTGGGAAGCCTGATGGTCACGGACACGTGCAAAAGTGAGAGTCCAAACAAGTTGTCTCAACTCTATAACCTGGTGAAACATGCGACCTGAAAGCCGCGAGGCTGCTCGCAGGGGCGAGCAAATTTGTGAGGCGCTGCAAATTGCTCCCTGCGCTCTGAGCTCTCCAGATCCGAGAAGAAGCCCAGCATTCGATAGCACCAGGGCCAGGTTCCTGGAACAACCGCCTGCGCCTTGAGTCAAAGGGCAAAAAACGCTAGCCGCATGCCCTGGGTTCGGCCCTGTTTATTCGAGCCATTCAATCCTCATTCGAGCGATTCCCAAACTACGTCTGCGAGGAGCTCGAATTTGGCTCTACGAGCAACTCGGAAAGTTTGTCTTAGCCAGCGGAAAGCCAAATCTAGTTTTCGGAAAGCTCTGTCAATGCATTCCGTTATGTGTGCGTGTCTGGAGGTGAGAAGAATCTAAAACATTCAATATTTGATACGGAGGCACGTTGACGATATGTTCGTGGCGGCCCTTGCGAACACACCATTGAGCGGCAGTGACCATGAGATTGAAGCATCCAACGTTCAATGCAAAGAGCCATGCATCACCCACCACCAACCGTCAATCAGAAAACCGTCACTCCTGGGGCAAAGGCAAGCAAGCACAGCATATTTGCAGCGATTGGCAAGCCTAAGTCTGAGTGCGCAAAGCGACTAGTCGGAGCCAGTCTTTTTGCAATCTAGATTACTTTGGTTTGATACTGAACCCTGACTTTTTCTCAAAAGCCCCAAAACATAAGAAATGCCTCCGTCGCCAATCATTTCGGCGTTCCGGTAATCGGGTTACTCGAATGGGGCCAAAGCAGCGTGCTGCTTCTCACGCTGTAGTGCTGGCACTTTACATTGCAGGTGAGTTTCGCACTGCAGTTTGCAAGAAGTGCCCAAGCTATCTTGGCATGTGAAACAAGCTTCTCACACATGCTTGCTGCGCAGCGCATCTTTCTTTCCAAAAACCTGATCAACCCCACTTGTGTTTGCGATTGAAAAGATGCACTTCTGACGGCGCAGAACCAAGATCCTCATAGAATGGCCTACTACGCAAGGGCCGACGCAAGGGGATTCCCCTGATTAGCTATAATTCGAGAGCAAGTCCTTGGCTTCCTGCTGCGCATCACGGCTGAGTGCGCCATGGTAAGCACGCACGAATGCGTCCAACTCCTGGAAGACATCTTTGTTGACAACCGCATCTGTCAAGATCTTGCGAATGAACTCGGCCAGCTGCACAAGACCGCTCAAGGAGCCGAATCTCCTATCAAGTGTGAATGCCAGCTGCGCACGCTCTTGTTTGAGGGCGCAAATCTTCCTTGCTTCCGATGTGAGCCGTTCTCGTAGTTTGTCTTCCTCGGATCGTACACTGCGTTCCTCTTGGTCAAAGGCATGCCTCCTTGCAGCTTGTTCCTCGGTCTTCTCCTCCAGGCCATCGGCAAGTCTCCGAGTCTTCATGGCCTCCAAGCTATCTATCCTCTGCCTGTTTCAGGTTGCGAGTCTGTGCGCTCAACTGCTCAACCTCCATGGACTGTCTCGCTTTAGCCTCTGCAAGCTTGCCAAGCAGACCTGTCTTGTCTGCATCCGCATTTCGCAAGCTGGCCTCATGATGGTCAATGCCATCAAAATAGAATCGAAAAAGGTAAGCAACTGCCCAGCCCGATGGCAATGCTTTCCTGCTTTCCAAAGTATACTTTGCCCCTCTCACCTTTACCACGGTGTTCCCAACAGTCACATCGTTTTCCAAGTTCTGGGAGAACCTCTTTCGCTCACTCTCATCGTTGGGAACTAAACGGTAACTCCAAAACAAGTGCGTCTCAGGCGCACTTGTTCCTCAGAGACTGACACCTTCGACGTTGACGTTATGCACCTAGTGTCGCCGGTCGCGCTTCTTCAACAGCCAAGTAGCATTCTTCCGCGCAACCTTCAGCCAACTCAAATGTGGCTTGCTGATTGAAGTCTGCTTCCCACAACAGATTGCGATCCCTTTTTATCTAGTTGTGTGATCTTGTCCTCAATACCATCGATTTGCGGACCTATGTTCTGCAGGCGCCGGTTGGTCTCGCTACATTCAGCCTGGTACTCTGCAAGACCCTTCTCTCTGCCGTCTTGATGTCTGCGTCGTGTCTCTCTGCCAGGATTTGCTGCTGCTGCGCCTTGCCCGCAGCATCAGGTTCTGTCTGTAGCTGTACCTGCAAACGACAGCGTCCGCCTTGTCTCGTTCAGTAGCTGTTCCTCCTCTCTTCTTTTCTCTTGCGAGCGCCGAAGCTGGTCTGACAGGTACGTTGAGACATTCAAGCAGCTGGCAATTGCTGCGTGAACGCCCTGGTAAAACCTGTCGACAACTTGCACTCGCCATGCGCGCGCATAGCTTGAAACAGGCAGGCCTCATCACTGAGCTTTCCGACCACATGTGGAGTAGCCGCTTTCGGGCTTTCATGTTCTTGATATTGAGAACATGGGTCTTTTGCGGTTTCCAAAATGGATCAATGACGACCACATGCTGCATTGATGACGTAGCACGTCAGCATCCAAAGCCCTTTCCTCTGCGTGCTGCAGGTTCTTTTTGCAACTATTGTATGCCTCTTTGGCAAAGTCTCCTCCTTCAATCTTGCGCGCGGCATCTACACTGCCGTGCTTGGGTATGCTGATCGCAATATGCAATTGTTGGTTTGGTCCAGTATCTTCGGAAATCTGCCGCTCAGCCGCCCTAACAGCCCCAACAACGCCCTGCCTTGCTTTGCTCATGACATCCTGCGGCACCACCAAAACAACTGTCAATGCCCTGGCAGCTTCTATAGCACGGTCGAAACTTCATCGAGCAACGACAGCATAATCATCTCCACGGGTATCTTCAAAGCCTGGAGTGTCAACCAGCATAAACAGCATAAACTAGTTTCCCGGATCCGGCACTTCAAAGCTCTCCCTCTCCGCGTCCAACGTTTGCGAGGCAAACCACGAAGCACCAATTCTTGGGCCTGATGCGTTGCTGCGGGTGAATGTCTTGCCAAAAACGCCGCTCTCCTCCTGCGAGGAACAGAACACAAGACTTTCCGCGTGTCAAAACGCATGACCCCGACTAAGCCAAACGTTCGGAAGCATCAGGCCTTGAGTGGGAAATTCAAGAGGTAGCTGGCCATAGGGCTCTTGCCGCACCCCGTAGGACGACAAGATTCTTGCCCCGCATCCGGTCAACGCGCTTCTCAGCCTCCTGGCAATGCCGACATACTAGCTCAGCCCTAATGTGTTTCTTACCACTGCGACATGTGATGGAAGAACAAACCAAGCAGGCGGCTCCTGCACCATGGTCAAAATTCGATTGGCTATAACTGGGCCCATGGCCGCGTCACGGGACATGGCCAACGAACCGACCTGCGACGCGCACAGGCCAGCAAGCACAGCTTGCACCGACATGTCTGACCAGTTCGGCTGCGTTCCAAGCTTCTGGGCCGTTCCAAGCTTCTGGGCCGGTCTCATGTTGCTCGAAGGCTTGCAGCCCGCTGCCTCACGCCGTTACTGTCTAAAGGCCGACTTCGTCTGAACTGTTTATTTTGCAGAGTCGTTCCAGCGCGACAACTCCAAACCGAGCGGAGACTTTCATTTGATACTACAGGTAGTGGAGTAGTTTCCTACCCCGACTCATTTTGCTTCTTGATTTTGATTGGCGGGATCTTGTTTTCCAACCCCGTACGGTTTTGGTAGCTTTTGGCCGATGTTTTTCCGAGTCATTGGAATTAGTCGTAGGTGAACTTTCTTCCGTCACCTGCGACTCTGTCAAACTGTTACCCAAAGACACAGCGCATCAACCCCTTGCTTGCCGACAGTGTTGTTGATCTTGCTATGATCTCACGTTGATCTTGTTGTCTTCCTGTCGATCTGATTGGGTACGGACAAGCTAACAAAATGGGACCATAAATGCTTTAGGCAGATCGTAAATGCGTACCATGCTGCGGCACTGGTATCCACTGGAAGCCAAGACTGATGCACAAACCATAAGTTGACAAAAACCGGTAACATTCATGTTCTGCACTTGTCACGACGACTGCGCAAACACGCAACAGCGCCCGCAAAACAATTTGGAAGTCTGGAAAACGAACATGCTCATCAACTTGAGTTGATAGTAAACGTTGGCCCCAGCTCCTTCATCACGTGGAAAACATACTCCTGCTTTTTCTGCGGTTTAGTCGCCGCTAACTCTTCATCTTCTTCTGTCAGCGTGTTCCACCATGGAGAATGAGATTGTGTGTCAGCTGATTGAACAATGAGCTGTCCTTTCTCAATCTGTGGCGGAGCGCGTGTTCAGCTTCTTGATACTTTGGAAGGAGCTCTTCCTGCTGGTCAGACATGTTCTTGCACTTGCACATGAGTCTCAAAGTTCTCTTTGGTGACACCTATAGAATCCATACAGTATAAGCGTATGCGCGCGTGCTGGCCCAGCACACGTGGGTCACCTTCCCAAATACGCTTGCCGGCAATCAAGTCAGTGACTGTTGCATGTTCAAAGGTCATGATCGTTGAAGAATAATCCTGAGGAACCGTGTCAGGACCAGGGAAGAGGTCTTAGTCGTTCGCTTCCAGGCTACACATATTGGGTTTGTATTTTTTTAGGGTGGCCGGGCAGGAAGGTTTGAGTACGGGGTATGATTCGCAGGTATGATTCGCGGGTATGATTCGGGGTATGATTCGGGGGTATGATTCGGGGGTATGATTCGCGGAAGCAGCAGCAGCAGCAGCAGTAGTAGTAGTAGTAGTAGTAGCAGTAGTCGCCGGAGTAGCAGTACTAGTAGTAACATTGTAGTAGTAACAATAGTAGTAGTAGTAGTAGTAGTAGTAGTAGTAGTAGTAGTAGTAGTAGTAACAATACTAGTAGTAGTAGTAGT